AGATGAAGAACGGTATCATTTTATTTCTCATCTTAGGAAAAAATCCTAATCTGGCAAAAGGCGCAGGTACAGGCAATACAACAGGTACGTTTAGCCAGCTACACTTTTATTGATTGATAAGCCTAAGATCCATGCTTCAAATGAGCGAGTGAAAAAACCCATAACGGTACGTTCACGGTACAAATTCAACAATAGGTCGTTTATGTGACTATACGTCACTACACGTTACGTTACGATTGYTTCACGCTATTCGTGACTCACGATAACTTTAAGAGAACTGTTTTATCATGATCATTACCTTATCAAACTTGATTTTACCTCTATGGCTTAGCAAGGAACGCATGGACGTCCGTTGTTCAAGTTTTTTCATTGTCCTCCCAGGAAAATCCTCTGAAAGTAAAGAATTTTTTTCCTGCCACTTCCACCATGATTTTTTATTTACTTGTATATTAACATCTCGGGAAAGAAACACTAAAGCTATTCATTGATTTAAAATAGACACCGGTCAAACAGGAGAAGCGGGTAAAACAGGAGGTAAAACTGGAGAAGCAGGAAAAACTGGGGAAGCAGGAAAAACTGGAGAAGCAGGTAAAACTGGAGAAACAGGTAAAACTGGAGAAACAGGTAAAACTGGAGAAACAGGTAAAACTGGAGAAACAGGTAAAACAACTGGGTCAACTGATACAGGCTCAGGTGTAAACACTAAAGAGGAAAATACCATAGGTACGAACACCTCCCAGCCAGGAGCAGTGGGAGGGACGGTGGAGGGCGGAAAARTTACCAAGGAAAAGAATCTTGAAAAGGAAACGGCTGGACCTGGAGAATCAGTGAAAACAAACGAAGAAAATGCTGGAAATACTGTTACCAATCAACCGGGAGCGGTGGGAGGGACTGTTGAGCAGGGTAAGGTTTCTAAAGAGACTAATCGAGAGAATAAAACAACAGGAACAGGTGTCGATTCTTCGAGTACGGGAGGAGAACCCGGTACGGAATCAGTAGAAGAAGTAGCAAATACAATCGCAAAGAAACCCGGTCAACCCGAGATGATAAACAAGCTAAAAGAAGCAGGAGTCTTGAACAATAAGGGTGAAGAAGTGGCAAATAAACAGAACCAAAATGCAGGGCAGCCAACGGATGAAACAAAGCAGAAGGTCCTTGAAGAATTGGAGGAAAGCCACATGTTAAACAAAGAAGGTGAAGCGATGCTTAAAGAAGAGAATCAGAAAGTATTGGTCAAGAACCTCGAAAAGAGTGGCCTACTAACTGAAGAGGGACAAAACATCCTTAACAAGGAAGGTCCCGGTGGACTGATAAAGCAAGTGGAACAAGGTACGGCCGTTGCGGGAGTGCCATCGGTAAATGTTGTAACAGAAGAAATCAATAAACGGCCGGAGAGTCAAGAACTCATGCAAAAGCTCCAAAGTGGAGGGCTGTTGAGTAATGAAGGTCAAAAAATAGCTGCAAAAATCCAACCAGGTTAGATAACGGGATTCATTATTACAGCCATCTCTCGTRTAATTGCGTGACTAAAAATGTCACGCAATTAAAGAGGGTGACGTTTATATAGACCCCTTGTAGCACGTTGTAATACAGCTCAATTTTCGGAGGACATAACAATAGSTTTCTAATTCTCAAGAGGTTCAATTTCTTGTGTTTTTTCCTCYAAATTGAGCTACTTTGAAGTCACATGCGTGACGATMWATTAACCCAATGAGTCTTATTTACGGACCTCATATTAGTTAATTCTTTGTTTTCAGCAGTTGTTCCTCAAGTCAGCAACGTTCCTGCAGTGCCACCGCCAGTCGCACCACCAATCGCACAAATGCCAAACAATGGAATGTGCGGTAAGTTAAGATCGTACATAAACGGCTCGTGACCAACTAAACTCTGTAATCACCCCTAATTAACCGATTTGAGACAGAAACGCCTATGCAAATTAATCTAAAACGTCTTCATGCTATTGCAAAGGTACATAAATTTGACTTTCAAACTTGCCTGACAAATGATCAGTTCTTGGCGAAAAACTAATTCTAAATATTTCTGATTGGCTGTATTAATACAGTATTTCGATCTCACAAAAGTATATTCACAATGGACTTTGTAATTTTGGAGAAAAGAAGTATTTTTTCCACTTTAAAGTATTTGATTCCTGGAAAGAGGGCAAAGAATKTTTTAAGTTTTAAAACTTTTTTGACCTATTTGCCCCTCGTTGAACTCCAAACCTTGCCGACAAAATGCTATTTATCTGTATGTTTTTTAGTGGTATTGGATTTAGGTTTTATCATCGATGGATCAATAGCAATTGGCGGCGAAGTYAACTTCAAACAACTCCTTAACTTCGTATGGAATGTAATTCAGTCATTCATCATCGGCCCTACAAAGACAAGAGTAGGGATCGTTYTGTCTGCCTTGGAATCTTTCGTTATATTCAACTTCCATACCTACTACGAGAAGCCAAACATTCTCCAAGCTCTWAATACCATCCAATATCCAGGAACAGACGGTCCAGGSACGTACATCGGGCGAGGCCTTCACGTRGCGAAGAGATTCCTTTTCTACCAATCAGGAAGAGACAATGTCCCTCGTGCCTTAATTATCCTTGCAGGAGGTCTCTCTCTTGATGACGTCATTACTCCTGCGATTGAGCTCCGATCAATGGGTGTTGATATYTATACTGTTGGTRTCGGYAGTAAATACAGCAAGCTGCAACTTCATGCAATGGCAAGTTTCCCACACTCAGAGCATATATTTGGTGCCTCGATTACACAACTTGCTCTTATTGCACAGAATGTTGTGACCAAAGTCTTGAAAGGTATGTTAATAGGCTTCTCTACGTTGGACGTGATATTTCCACATTTCAGACCACTTGCCATTCCYTAGAGTATCCTTTCTTTGCTTAACGGTTGAATATAAAAAGACACATGAATATGGATACAATTCAAACAAAGAATTCTATTCTCGAGTGAATGACACGTGGTCTGAAATGGAGGGAAATTACTCAACATTTATTGCGCTCTTTCAAGTATCATCCTGTGTCTGGAAGACTTCTTTCATGGACAGCTAAATACTCACTATTTCTTTTCTTCTAACCTTTTCAGGCATATCAGTCAACTTCTGCCATCCTTGCTTCGAAGGTACTTAAATCTTTTGGGACTTATTTAAGTAATTAGTTTTATATGGCATAGAACTACCACGTCCGGACCTAGAAGATGCATGCTTGTTCTATGGAGCATTCTTATTGGATGATTAGTAATCTCGYGCGCTGTGATTGGTCGTACAATATACTTTGTAGRATTGTCATGCCATGATAAAGAAATAGCTGTTTGCAAAGTAGCATTATTATGATAGGATCARCAGTAATTCCATGCGCTGTGTACGTGATTGGTCAGACTTTAGAGTTGCTTATGAGAAGACAATTTTACTGTAAATGAGTTCTTGGACAATCACTAATCTTGTGTGCTATGCTTATAGGTATGCATTRAAAGATTTCGTTAATGCAATGCTTGGAAGGTACCACCATAGCATCATATTTCAAAGGTACTAAATTAACACAAAATTGTCTGTCTTAGGTCACGACATGATGTGTGATTATTGTCCAATGGACGTCGATTCCATTCTCTTTCGAAGAGGGCACGACAAGAAGAGTTCAAATCATCATGGGGAAGAATATCACCATGACAACAGCACTACACCCATTCAAGACGACGCCAACCCAGGAAGTAAAAGCACCAACGATRCCTCAAAAACTTCCCAAGATTTATCATCTTTACCATCATATTTGAAAGAGTCGTCAAGCGAGGATACTTTTGACGTTCAAGTGGATGACACCCCAAAACCYCCAGCGAGAATGTCGGACTGGAACTATTTGAAGGCTAAAGCAAAAAGATTGGGACTTTTGAACGAAGCAATTCGAAAAGAAGAAGAAAACTATTCAGAATATAAGTATGAAACAAAAAGTGCAGGATTGATTACTGATGGTAAGTATCGACGAATACTTCACTTAGTCGAGTTCTCTGTTGCTCAGGGTTAGCCTCGATTTTGTATAGAATATTCACGTTAT